CTAGACATTAAAAACATCGAAAAATCATTCTGAAATTGCTCTTGATATGCTTTTATCACAGCTGGAGGACTGCTGCTGGAAACGGAAATGCTCCCTTTGTTGGTTTCCAGCCCTTTTGGAACCTGATATATATATATATATATAATAGGGACATTAATTGCACTTATTAATCTAAAAATTAAGTCTAGCTCTAGCAAATATTACTGAGGTTATAATAATATACCTGAGATAGCCAATGGAGGCTATAGGAAGAGTGCACAAAATGGAGGCTCTTGCTGGGGAAAAGCCTGTCATAGAAAGAACCAGGGACCCCTGAAAAAAAGCATGGTCCACTACCGCTCCCTATCTCTTTCTTGAGTTTCTCCTGGAAACCAGCAAGGGAACTAAAAACTGAATTGAAGTCATTCCCTGGAAGGTCACTCAAGAGGACTTGATATTCCGGCGATTGACAGCCCAGCTCTTGGCGCATCTTGTCCACCAGTTTTATGAGTTCAGAGACAACATATAAAGTATTAGGTCCTGAAGAGCAACCTAAGTCTGCCATTGCCAAGGTTGTCGGGAATGTGCTGTAGTAGTTGATCAGTTTGGTTATGGCTTGCACCCAGATTGGTTTTGTCATGCGGATTAGGTTCAGCTGTCCAAAATCAACGAGTGTTCATTTAGAATGACTTTTGTTTTCCATTTTATAGCTCCGGAGCTCCCAGTTAAATATATAAATAAAATCACTAAAAAATGAGTGAAATTTGAATTTGATTCATGCATGAACTAATGTATTTGCATGACTGATTAATTACCTGAACAAATGAGTTTTTTGCATAACTGGTTTCCCCTACTCCTCCTTTCATGTGGAATGCTTGAAATACTTCCATCTTTTTGTCTCTTTTCCCCTCGGTTTGGGTTCAATGCACAAATAATGTAATATTCGTGCTCTATATATAGATGTTAATCTCCTCTCTGTCTCACCAATCAACTAACTCTTTGCCACGCAAATTAATTAAGGTATCAGTTGAAAACTTGGAATTGTTTTCATAGCTTACGTGTGAGACGGTATTACAATGTTTTTAACAAGGATCATGATTGGTGCATATTCAGATCCCACACCCGGGTGTGTGCACCCTTCTACATAAAAAAAAAAAGATGAACTAGGTGTTGAATTTTTTTTTTTTATGTGGAGGTATGCACACTCGGGTGTGGAATCCGGGTGTGCACATCCGGATGTAGGATCCGGGTGTGTACACATCATTATTCTTTTAACAATGAAATCTTAAATATCAAAAATAAAATACCATGTGGTGTAATTTTTAGTGGCTTTTTTAATTTTTAAATAAAAAATAAAATTTTATTCATATATGAAAACCCATAAAGATTATAAGATCAATCTACAGAGGTTAATGCGCAATAGGTATTAGAATTATAAAATGTGGGAAATTTACAAAATCAAATAATATAATAGGTATGTGAATATTG